AGAAAAGTCCCATTAATCAACAAATTTCCATCTGTACAGATCTAGGACGTTCTTCAAACTTTAAAAAAATCAAACGTGCATCTCATTTACAGCAATGGTTCTTTAAAAAACCAACCATTGAAAGGTTCTTTAGGAAACCAGAAGTATTTCTGCTATGACATCGTTTCAAGAGCCCTTTTGGCAGTGAAGCTGCTTTATGTTTAGCACGCTATTTCGCGTGTCACTGTAATGTGTGGATAAAGCTACTCCTAGACAGCTGTCATCTGCCTGTGTTATCATCCATGGGGGATGGTAAAGTTGAGTAATTTTGGACTCAGTCCTCTGAAATGGGTCAAACCAGACCTGGAAAGTGCTGACCTACTTCAGGATAGAACTGGTCAAGTTGGAGAACGTGGGGGAGGGGAGGGGTGCACGTGGGCGCTCTCTATGATCTACAGCTGTGGACGGCTGCTTATGAAACGGACCTTTGAAAAAAAAAGAGCAGTTTTTGTGACGGATACATTTTCATAAAGCGTGGGTACAATAAGGCCATGAACCCGCAGGAGAAACACTGTGAGTTTTATGTTGTGTCAGGGGGAGGGAGCTGGTCCGAATGAACAGCCTCGCCTGTGTCTCCCATCCAGCTGTGTGCATTCCGTCCGACGCCCCACATTCCAGAAAGGAGAATTGCTCAATCCTGTTCCCCCTCACCTTCCACCTCCCCCTCCCTGAGCATGGCTGAGCAGACGGACTTCAGTTCAGGAGGTGCTGGAGGAACAAGCATTTGCAGGTACAGTATGTGTGGAAGAATGGAAAAATCATTACACACGTATGCCTGGCTTCCCAGACCCAAATTAGGCCTAAGGCTAAAGGGCCTGTTTCCTACATTTTTTTCTGGTATTTCTGTCCCCCAGGCCAACTGATGACATTTGTCTATGTGCTAAAAACAGCGGTAATTAATTTTTATATGACCCTTTTCCAGCCTCTCTTTACCCCACCACTGTATCACACTCTTGTTGTTTACTAGGAAAAACAAGGTTTCCGTGATATGGGTCTTTTAACAATGATTTTAATTGTGAAACGCCACTGGCATCACAATTTAACCTAAGACTAGGATTATTCCATGACCGTGAAACCGACCTCTAGTGTTCCATACTGTAAGATGCCACTAAGGCTGTACACATTGAGCTGAGCAAATGTGTAAACACTACACTGGAAACATTCACCAGAAAAAAAGAGGCATTATTGATTGTCTAATGGGGTACATAAATATGTCTCACAGCTTGCCATGCACTGCTACTCACTATGAAGGACTCTGTGTATTGACCAACATACAAACATACCACACTTCCTCCACACACACATTCCCTTCACATGCTTTTCCAGGTCACACTATCCTTTATTGTATAAACATAAAGCGCACACACACACACTCATGCAGCTTAGAAGTACTTGGAAATGACATACAAGCTCACACTGTTAAACAGTAAACAATAAACAGAATTACAAATTGCCTCAGTGTTCAACAGAAACAGCCATAATACATGCATAATACAACATGCTAATACAATGCATACCACACAAGCCAATTTAATTACTTGATTCACAGTAGACCTGTGAAGCATAGACATTTGAAAACAAACCAAAATGCTAAAACGTTGTATAAAGATAGACAGACAAATGGACGGAGGAACAACTAAATGTAATCTATGTAAAAAGAGAGATTTTTTGTGGATGGATGGCCAGACACAGCCCAGGCCTCAGCATCTTTCATTTTGTTTGGGATAACTTGGACTGTGATAAGCAGAAAAGATTTCTTTGAAAAAAATAAAACCAAGCCTTCCAAAAAGAACAATAGCTGTAATAAAGGCAAAGGGTGGATACACTAAATTCTGGGGAAAAAACAGATTATATTTAGTTGTTGAGGCTTTTTGGTAATGTTCTGTTAAATTTATGTTCTCTTGACACTGAAAAATGAGTAACCTATTGGTCATTTTGACTCGAAATTAAATAAATGAGGGGCGGTCTCTGACTTTTGCTCAGTACTGTAGATAGATAGACTGACTTTTGTGAGAAGATAAGATTTTTTTTTCCATCATGCCCACTTTTGTTGCATTGGCTAGGCTGTGAAAAATGTAAGTGCAAACACAATTCTCCCTAGGTGCACATTCTCACCTTGATTCAGATCTCTGTTTCTCATTTAGACTGCCTTAAGAAACGGGTGTCCTAGAACAAAGCCTTTAATTTCAGCATAATTATTCATATTTGCTCAAATTAGAATTTCTACTGCTGTTCTTACTGCTGACACACATTTGATTGTTCATGCAGAAGAGGGTTTAGTATCTTTGGGCCTCACAATACTATTAACATCTGAGACTGGCCGTAGTAACCATCTGGCTATGGATTCCATTCTGCTCTGTCTGTGTGGGCAGCCTGGACTGGATTAATCATTGACAGAGTGGTCCAGTGCTGATGTGTAGGCTCCTGGTTTGTTGCATCAGCTTCAAACCCAGTGGTATATGTTCTCCAAGACGCACATACACTGGCTATTCTTCACAATGTACTGAGGACAGATGCTGTTGTTTGGTACCAGATTAATAACTTCATTGGCCATTTAATGAGTGCACTGGAATTCTTGCTTGTTTAAGCTTGAAATAAATGGCAGCATGAATGTCAATTGTACTGCCATTATACTGCCAAATTGTATGTCATCAGAATGTACAAAACATTAAGCTAGTGAAGAAAGACGATGGGCCTCAAGCAAGAACGTTGAAGGGGAATTCCAACCAAAATGTCTGTGTAATCCAATCATTAAGATGTAAACAAAGTGATTCAGAGTCATTTGATGTGACATGTGCTGTTCTGAAGAAAATGACAGAGCCAGAATTGTTCACTACATTAGTGATAGGCACCAGACATCTGAAGTGTTTAATGTCTCTTTAATGTCTCAATACCTAACAAAATGTTACTACATCAAATGGTTCTGAATAATCTGCCTGATGTCTAAGACAGTGTTTCATGATAGTTTTGAGAGAATGTTATGGTCTAAAATATTTTGAAGTGTCAGTGAAGAAGAAGACACTGGAAATGTTAAGGTAAATGCTCTTTTATTGAACAGGCAGCAAGGGAGAACCAACGCTCAGTGCAAACCAAGCGTCCAGGAAACAGGCAGGTCACTTATAGTCATCAAATCTCTGTACATAGTAGACAATTAACCCAAATGAACAACTCCACAGCCCAGCACAGAATGGCACAAACAACATTGCTGCACATCTTAAACCAACAAGAGCAACATGAACAGATTAAGGTCTCTCCTCACCAGGAGCATAGCGCCTCCCGAGAGCACTCTTTGCACTGCCCTGTTTGCATGTCCATGCCTCCCATGCTCCTAGGGAAGTGCGGCCAGTGGCAGGACGCCACACAGCTCCCCCTGCAAGGGTCAGCCATCCTGGTGACCTCAGAGAGTTTGAGTAGAGACACCACCCACCCAATGCAGCAGGAGTAAGAATGAGATGTCCACCATCCTGGACGACACAAATGACATGGGGCGTGTGCTCCTCAGCCATGTCCGCCAATCCAGTCATCTTTTGGGGGGCTACAGAACTCCCCACAACTCACTACACTGTCAACGCTGGCAAGGATGGTGCTTGTGAGTGCTGGGGCCGGACTCTCTGCTTTAGTAGATTGAAGGCCAGCCGGTGCGATGGGCTGCTCTTGCCATCTCAGCTTCTCTGGCAGTGGCACGCTCAGGAAGTGCCTCAGTGTCAACTCCTCCTGTGTTGCCCCCTCGAATGCCAGACATGCCTGCTAGACCATTGCACTCAGCTCCATCACCAGCTTGCTTATTTGCTCTTCAAGAAGCAGCTGCCTGGCCAGCCATGCCTCCGACGCCTGTCCCAATTGTTGCTGGAGGGCCGTGGTAAATACTGGAAGGTCCTCACTTCATTTGCCATACTCTGGCCGAGCGTCGCTGCCTCACTTCGTCACTTCTTCCCGCATCTTCACCTCTGGTCCACACTGTGCTGCTTCAACTTGCACTGTCTTTGTCGGGGCTCGCCAGGCCGCTAGGCTCTGCTGTCCACCTTTGATTTTATTAAATGTCCATTCCTCTACAGGCCACTGGAGGGATGGGGAGGCTATCCCACTTCTGACACCAAGTGGAGAAGATGACATCTGAAGCCTTGCGTGTTAAAGGTGAATACTCTTTTACTGAACAGGCAGCAAGAAAGAACCACCACTCAGTACTAACTAAGCAGCTGGAATAGCAGGCAAGTCACTTCTAGCCATACAGTTCACAGAATTCACAGAATAATACCTACAGCAGCCCAGCCACAGCAAATGAATAATATGTTATTATAATATTTATATATGTGTGTGTGTGTGTGTGTGTGTGTTACATTTTACCTCTGTCAACATTACATAAAAACTCAGAGACACGTGTAGGTTTACTGCTTATTTTGGATAGAAAAAAAACTCTATATTTGCATTAGAGACATTGCCCCATCATATGGTTTCATATTGTGGCGTCCGCTGCCGCGAGCTCTGTGTTTCACAGGCAGCTCAGTGTGTTTGGCATGCAAAATTGCGCCTACATGCGTCACCCCCTCCCATTAAAAGGATATTTGTTGCTGTTATTGTTGTTGTTTGTTAATTTAAGCTGTGTTTACGATTAGATTGTGCTGAAATCTTAAGAAATGGAATGGTAATTAAAATAAGTTGTTTGGAAAAACACGAGAAAAACCAAATCTGTAAAATTATTAAATAATTGTGCAACACGGTCTAGACAAATCAGAAATTATCATTCACGCAAAAAAAAATTAAATATTACAAATTTTCTGAAAAATTTGTAAACGTACGACTCGGTCAGCGCGAGGACCAACGCGTGCAGCCTGGAATCGTCAGCGTCAAAAGAGCCTAACCAATGGCTGGAGCGGGTGGCTCTGACGTCACGGGGGCGGGGCGGAAGCGCGCTGGCCGTGTGCGTGGAGAGCAGAGCGAGCCGAGAGCAGTTTGCTCCCGCATCGCACCGCACTGAGCTTGGCTGGGCATGTGCGCCTCTCCTCGCCATCGATGGACGTGACTCACAGCAGCCGAGCCAGCAGTAGCAGCGCACCGCGGGAGAGGATGTCTTGCTGAAATAAGGGATAGGCCTCGGCGAGTCGGCCGTCCCTTCTTTTTCCACCCTCTGGCATTCACACCGTCTCCAATCCCAGCGATTCCGCAGGAATAAAAAGGAAAAGTCGTCGAGGGCATCGACTACCTAATAAAAACAACATACGCAAAACAGCTGCGGGAGGCTCGCAATCCGGATGGTTCTCTTGCCATTTTGGGCAGACAGCATGGTGAGCAGAGCTGCATGGAAATGATTTGTGGAAAGAGAAGAAGGCCGCTGCTGCTGGAGGAAACCGGAGCTCTTTCTCAGGAAATCTGATCCCACTCACCGGTTAGCAGGCTAGCTGCCTTTTCTGCTAGCGAGCACTTTTCGCCATTTCATGGTGATTTCCCTTCCACACTGGAAAAAACACAGTCTCGCATGTGTGCAGCAGCATTTCGAGCATTTTGCACTCGGGCTCCAGTGGCTTCTGTAGCTGCATCGCAGAATTAACTAACTATCTGGCCAGCTGAAGTCAAAACTCGTTATTATACCCGGCTTTGGAGCTCAGGCCTTATAACTTAACCTAACTGACTGCAGAGAGCAAGGTAACTTTCTGTTGCAGTAAGTGGAGGATTACGCCTGTCTCTTTCGAAACCCAAGCAAAAACAAACGCTAACACTCATGCAGTGGTCTTTTAGCTCGCACAGTAGTCACGCTTCAGTTAAATCGCACTGACATTGTTCAGTCGCTGATAGACTGACTGCACGCACTTCGGGCTCGTAGCAGAGAGTAATGTTAGGGCACAGCAGCGCCAAAGCCTCCCCAAACAGGCATTAGTGACTCAGATCGAGGAATTTTCATCTTTTTCTTTATGCATTTTTTGTTGCAGTAGTGCAGCCAAATTCTATCTGCAGCCCAAGTTCGTTTCCTCTCTCGACCCCCCCCCTTCCGACTCAGACATCGACCCCCTCTCCCTTAGGACAACTCTCATCTACCACTCATGAACATACAGAGGTCAAATCCCATTAACATTTCGCGTTATGGGAGATCGAGGCACAAAGCGCACGAATTTGAGGAGTTGTCTTGCCTAAGGACTACAGAGTCGAACCAGAGCTTCAGCCCCAATTTAGGATCTCCCAGCCCCCCGGAGACCCCGGACTCGTCTCACTGCATTTCGTGCATTGGAAATTACCTTTTGTTGGAGCCGCTTGAGGGAGACCACGTTTTCAGGGCCGCCCACTTGCACAGTGGGGAAGAGCTAGTCTGCAAGGTAAGCCCATTCCTGCCCTGCGATCACAGTCATTTCACTGTCTTGTGGGTCCTATGATGGTGGTAAGGTCATTTTGGGCTATTAAGGGATATTGGTCTGTGCCAAGGAAATCTGACCTCGAAGGTCATTGAGAAGCTTGAATTATGTTATCTGGCAACACCTGGCTCAGAGAATATGTACAACCACATCTAGACTGTTTCATGCAGTGAAACTGCTAAGTAAGCTGCTTAATGTGTGTTGGAATATTCTATGGTGCTTGTAATAGAGAAGGTCTGAGTAATGGAAAGGCTTAGCAAGCGCTTGGCCAGCTCTCACCTCTCGCTTCTGCACTGTTGACTCTGTTGATCATGTTTCCTCATGTAACGTTGACAAAAGAAGCGAGTAACAGTGTCCGATGGACAAACTCAGAGGTTACCATGGTGTTCTGAGGAGAGATCAGGCTGGATGTAGTTGCTGTGGCCATGCACTCGGCTCTATGTCCTATAAGTGACTGCCACAACGTGGTTGTTTCTAAAAGTAATCAAACTGCATACCTGCTGTATTCCTGCAGATACACGAGTAACCAGATTAAGCAAGTAGAACTCACTTTTTTTGTTGTTGTAAGGCAGATTAAAAGTGCATGCAGGGGTCGACGTGGGCAGTAACTCAAATTACCCTCTTTATATCTTGATAAGAACTGGGCCTCTGATGTCCACCTTCAACATGCTCTATTTGTCCAGCCTCCCGTTCTATGTGTCTGTTACTAAGCAACATCAAAGATCAATCTCCGTTTTGGAGGCTTAAAATTGCTGCAGCGGTGTATGCCTTGCCTCTCAATGCTGCATGGATTGCAGTCCTTTTGTCTCTGAACTCTCCATTGTCTTTCTAAAAACGGAGGCTTCTTTTGAGGTGAAAAAGTCACATGGTAATCGACATTTCTCACACCAATTTCCAGGGGTACCAGAACCTCTTAGGGCACTAACTTTGCACAGCTAGCTGTCCAATTGTCCCCGAATCAATGACTGTGTCTGATTGGATGCAAAATGCTCTCGTTTCTCTTTCCAGGCATTTGATATCAGTCGATATCAAGAGTCACTGGCTGCCTACTTTGTGCTGGGTGCCCACCAGAACATCAACCAAATAGTGGAGATTCTCCTGGGGGACACGCGGGCGTACGTGTTCTTCGAGAGGAGCCATGGGGACATGCACTCGTTCGTCCGCACTTGCAAGAAGCTGCGAGAGGAAGAGGCTGCCAGACTCTTCTATCAGATAGTGTCGGCCGTGGCACACTGCCATGACAATGGCCTGGTTCTCAGAGACCTCAAGCTGAGGAAGTTCGTCTTTAAGAATGAGGAGAGGTAAGGAGAAATGCTTTCATGCTTTGAGATTACATCATAGTTATGTGTAAAAGGTAGCTGAGCATGCAGTGCTTGTGAGTTTTGCTGTCATTTGTACGTACTCTGCCTGCTTGTCCAGTTTAATATATAGTTGTGCATTAATAGAGCTTTTGGGTAATGTTGCATGGGCACTATTAATGTTATGTTAAATATGGAAGACAGTGCCTTCGCTCCACTCCACTCCACTAGACTAGGCAAATTGGAATGTAAAACACAGCTACTTGCCTCTAATATCAGGCTGATGTAATAACAGCATACAATTTGGGTGGTCTTCCCATTTAAGCTAAACGGTAGTAGCACCTTCAGCCAAATGAGTCACCTCAGTTAGATTTCCTGTGGCACAGCACATGGAAGGGGGGCCTGTGTGACCATGGCTGTAAATGTGAGCTCAGTGACCTTACTGTTCCCATGCACTGTAGCCTGGGATGCCAACGCCACGCCTCCTTAATGATTGATGGCAGGCTGGAGTGATAGACATGGCCAAGGTGGGAAGTTCTGCCTTGGTCTGAAATGAAACACCAAGTGCGCACCAAGACGGGAACAGGGAGTCAGACAGAATCTGATCTTTCGCCCAAAGCGGACTGCTGTGGAGCTCTGCTGGGTTTCTGACCCGGTTATGTCACAGAGGACACTTATAACATTATGTTGTAACATGTAAGGGTCTGGTTTCCCAGTGGAATAAGCCTAATCTTGGAGAAAATTGCAATGCCAATGGAGATCCACCATTACATTTTTGTAGGCGTAGCTTTTAATTTACATCTAGCCCTGTTTGTGCAATCCAGAAGTCATTGAAATAGTTTTATGAGACCTGTCCTGTTTTAACCTGATGTAAGCCAGTGTCCTTTTCGTACCCAGCATGTACGTGTATGTGGTTTTTCCACTGTGCGGTAGAGGTGTGAGTCACGTATACTGAATGTCATTTAAGGATTATTTTCAGCAGGCAGCTCTGCTGTTATACTCCAGCCCTCGGCTGCTGGACAGCTATGGAGCTAGGGGTCAAAGGGTCAGTTCAGCGAGTGCACGCTCTGCTCACTTTTACCTTTCAGCTTACTTGGATGCCTGATCCTTTAAAGTTAAATGCAACTGAAGATGCAAAGGCTGCAGTGTTAGACTAGTGCTGTACAGTTTGGTTAGGCACCGTAAAAGCTCATGCATTTTATTCAGTTAAGAAATGATGAGGGAATTTTATTGAATTTAGTGAAAGCGAGGAATACAGGGATTTTCCATTTTATGTTTGAATACTTGAGTATGTACTCAGTCTTCCAAAGAATTGTTTCTCCCATGTCTCCAGGTTCCACTGATTATGCCTGGTTCCCTGTCTCATATTGCAGGGCGTAGGTATGGCTTTTGGAATCCCATAGATTTTACTGTACTATCCGCTTTCATTAAAATTCAGAGCAGGGATCATTGTTTCCCTGAGAGAAGGCTGCTCTTTGTCCCTTATACTGATGGGAATATCCAGGGGCAGTCATTTGTTTCATTACTTCATATTGTCATGGGGATTTGTCATCCAATATATGTTGTGCTGTCTTTAAACAACAGTTTGCCCTGAAGAGAAGTTGTAAGTGGACATATCTTCCCTAAATGACAGAAAAGACTTTTTTTCAAGTTGTTTTTCTCATTTTTGTGTTTTTTTTTTGTGTGTGTGTTTTCCCATAGGAGCCTTGTTAAGTTGGAGAGTTTGGAAGACACATACCTCCTGGAAGGAAGTGATGACTCTCTCTCAGACAAACATGGCTGTCCAGCCTATGTAAGCCCGGAGATCCTCAGCGCCAGTGGCAGCTACTCGGGGAAAGCGGCGGATGTGTGGAGTCTAGGCGTCATGCTGTATACTATCCTCGTCGGGCGCTACCCCTTCCACGATGTGGAGCCCAGTTCGCTCTTCAGCAAGATCCGCCGCGGCCAGTTCAGCATCCCCGAGACGTTAACGCCCAAGGCCCGCTGCCTGATCCGCAGCATCCTCCGGCGCGAGCCGGCTGAACGTCTGACCTCTCGGGAGATCCTGGAGCACCCCTGGTTCCTGGCTGCCACCAGCCAAGCTGGAACAGGCAGCAGCAGAGGAGAGCGGGACGCGGACCAGATGGTGCCAGAGGCCAACATGGAGGAGGAGCTGGAGCAGTACTTCAGCTGAGCAGCACAAAAAAAAACCCAGACATTTTGCCACGTGTTTTAGACGACAAAAGAAAAGTTAACAGAATACACTCATTGCAAAGGTGTCTATCTCTCATTCCATCGAGAAACCTGAAAGGTCTGGCTTGATGGTGTGGAACACCTTCAGCAAGAGCTTCTGGGCAATGCAAATGTTAATGTTAAGTAATGTAGCAGGACTTACAACTATCTTTAGTTTGAGTTTTTTATTTTTATTTTAAGTGGTGCTCATGAGATGTACGAGTCACATTAAGCTACAAAAGAAATAACACGACGGCACAGGAGACCTCAGCCAAGGAGAACAAAAATGAGGCAAAGTGCAACCACTCCTGTTCATCAAGTACATGACATTGTCTCCAGATACCGAACTTTACTTCAGAAGCATTTTGTTGGCTGTATCTATATTTATTCTTTGTAATTTTTTTAAAAGTATATTACTTACACCATTCTGCTCGTTCATAGCCTTATAGGCCTATACTATAAAATGTATGTGCCGGCTATCAGTAGAATTACAAAAATAAGTTTGTAATTTCTTCTCTTCAGGCTTGTTTTCCCTTCATTGTGTAATTATGTTAACTTGCATCGTTTCTGTCCTTCGTGTAAAGCTGCACCACGTCAGCTCTTTGTGTTGCATTAAGCTATTTCTTTTTTCTCTTCAAATGTTACTGCTGCTTTATTTCTGCTCTAGCCTGAACGGAACCTTTCTCCTTGAGCCTCCAAACGTGACGAGCACTTGACTTGCCTAGGCTAGGTGAACGGTCCATTCCATCTCTCTAGACTAGCATCTATTTAATTTTTTCTTTCTTATGCAGGAATGAAAATTATTATTTTTTTTCTTCTAATTTAAAATAACTACTATATTTAAAAAAAAATACTTGCAGGGTTTTCTCTTCAGTTCCAGTTTCCACAAATATTGTAGGCAATACTTTTGACACAGGACAGTTACGAAGTTAAGGCATTAAAGACTGTCCCAAGGTTTAGAAACCATGTAACTTTAGTGCCAGTATTTGTGCCCCACAGCCACCTATGCTGATAGTATTTTTTTTTCTTTTTTTTTAAATTTAGGTTTTGACTCCACAACAGTAAAATGATGTTACTACGACTACACTGTCTCCAGTACCTCATGTTAATTTTCTACTGCCTGCGTAGGTTCTGTGAAATGATCATGTTCTGAATGGGTACATGTGGACATGTTTTGTCGTATATAAATGTTACTTGAAATCGTGGTATCTAGTCAACGGCATGTGCCCTTTTTGAATGCTATAGCCTGCCTAGCGGGGGGGCGGGGAAGCTGTTTTTTTTTTTGTTTTGTTTTGTTTTTTTTAATACTTTTCTTTTTTCCTCCCCCTTTCTTTTCTGAAAGTAAATTCTTGCAAACAATTTATAAAAAAAAATACTTAAGAGGTCTAAGTTGCTTCTGTAAGCATAGGTTTATTATTATTGTTAATATTATTAATATTATTATTTTTAAAATATGCATTTTTGGTAGGAAAAACTGCCCATGCTTTAGTTGGTGCTGATAGGTGCTAATGTTGAAGGAGATTTTTATTTTCTTCTGTTCTTTTTTTTGTTGTTTTGTTTTGTTTTGTTTTGAAGGGGGGGGCGTGCATGGTGGGATATCTGCCTCAGATGCTCTGATTGTAATGTAACTGATTTTGGTGTTTTGTCCAAATTTATTCGGTAAATAAATTGTGAACTGCACACTGAAATTTTATATTCTTTTTCTCTGTTCTGAGAACTGAATTAATCTGTAATAGGCATACAAGCTTGGTGCTGAATAACCATGAGCTTGGTTATACATTGCACAAAAAGTATTACAAAACATCTTCACACACTGCAGTAAACATGCACAGCAGCTGGTATGTACTCACTGAAAGGCCCAGTATGTTTTCATACATATAGATTTGTCCCTAAGATTCATGTATGCTGGGTCTTCCATTCTGTTGAGCCAAACTCTCAGTCAGTGATGCTGGAATTTTTTCCTTTGAATTCATAATATACAGGATTTCGTCCCCTGAGTGCTGGATCTCATTGGTATGGCAGCTGCTAAGTACGCCTGGAGCCCACGAGGGATAATCCAGCAGATAAAGATTTTAAGGCTTATGTGTTGGGGTAGTTCTATGTGATCTGCAGCAGGATGGAATGATGGCTGGGGCATCATTTATATTAAAATGGAATATATTTCAATATTGTTGACATATTCCAACTTCTGTTTAGAATTTGAAATATTTTTTAACATTCTGTATAAATAATGATGTTAGAGAGCACGCTTCTGCACGTTGTACAACACAATTACTGTTTATTTGCTGAGTTTAACATCCAAGGAGAAAAAGAAAAATATAAAATATGGCCTGTGCAAAAGTTATGGCACGTTATATTGAAAGTTCAGTTTTTTCCCAACATGTTAAACTCAGCAACTATATAGTTAATAATTGTGTACTAAAATTTACAATTTTTGGAAAATGCCATATGACCACACACACACACACACACACACACATACATACATACATATATATAATGACATATGACTACATATATAAAATCACTACTGTCCAAAGAAAAATAAGTTTCTCCAAAATAACAAAAAAGCGAAAAAGTTAATGTAAAGAAGTTTTATTCCAAAAGATTTTAGGGCATTTCTACTGGTTCATTCATCATGAAATCTTGACATGATATAAGGGACAGCTGCAATGGTCAATGTATAAAAGAAATATTTAAAAAACGACAGAATTTGGACATATTTTTTTTCTGGACAGCCGTGAATGCTACCACATTGCAATCAATATTTTTCAATAGTGTAAAACCTATACAGTTGTAAATAACTTTTAAATCATCCTAATATGCAAGTCCTGTGCAATTTTACAGGTTTCAAACAATTTGTAGGACAGCTGGGAAGCTGGAAGTAAAAGCTAAGAAATTTCTAAAGTGTCTAGAACGATTCTAAAATGTCTAAAATGACTGAGAAAGCTGTGTAGCTGTATAGCACTGAGAGTTATAATAAAATTAATATCAGAATTCCTCACCACATTTCAGTAGTGGAAAGTGGAGATCAGATCTCAAGGTAGATAACTTTACACAAAAAAGAATCTAAATAGAATTCATAGAAAAAAACAGTATATTTTATTCACATAACTTATATATATATATATATATATATATATATATATATATATATATATACACACACACACACACACACACACACACACACGCATAAATGTCTTTTATCCCAAACAGTGAGGGAGCATGTTAGCTTGGTATTTGCAGTTATCCTGCTCTGTGATTCCTGAAATAGCTTTTTACATTTGTTGTGCCAGATGTGCCCCCGCCACAGCATCTGGCAGAGTGCACCAGTGAGCTCTTCATTTCGCTCTGTCAAAACCCACTGATTTGTCCAGGCCCTCCAAACCGTATGTGTGTCTGTTGTACCACTGACCTCTACATCAACCTCCCTGTAGTTCGCTTATTTTAGTCCATGTGATCATACAGGGTGTAGACAGAATTCAGCATGAACTGTAGGTCAGAGATGATATAAATGTGCTTTGTTGCAAAACATCCTCCACCCGAGGCAGAGAAAGGATGAAGGATTGGGTACTGAATGCTATGATGATTTGTTGTTTTCTGTCCTTTTTCCCCTTGCAGCACATTTTAATGTTTACCACCTGAGCAATTGAATTTGCATACATGCATTCTCTCAACAGGGATGCGAATCCACACCCGTTTACTTGATATCACCATTTAGATGATTCATCTCTTTGCTGCCTGATATTTAAGACCCTGCTGGGCCCAAAGTGAACATCACACAGTTGAAGTCATTATAAAGCAGGCTGCTGATGATTACCCTCCTTCCTCCTAGCGGGGGCAGAATGGGCTATGGATGCCATGAATGGTGGAATCCTTGTTCTTAGTCTGCCCTCTGGTGGATGAGGAGGACACCTTATCATGTGAAACATTTTCACATAGAATAGGAGAGTATTATTTGTAAAGAATATCACATTTTCCTTAAATAACAATAAAAGTACTTCAAATTCAGTATGCAGAAAAATGGGTTTACCGCATAATAATAGGGAAAATTTCATGAAAAACATGATTTTTCTTACTTATTTCAAATGAAAGATTTGCAGAATGTAAACAGTGTTATGGTTTTAAAATACACGATTCCCTCCCAAATCCATACACACCATATGTGGCCTTGAATTCATTGTTTTTGTGATGTGATAAAACCAACCAGTTACATATATCTGCGTATTCAATCCACAGCAGTTTTGCTCCACCTATTCACGCTGAAGTTATAAGGAATGTTTCCACCTGTATCCTTTTTTGAATAAGGAGAAATACAGGACAGCCAATCAGAGCAGATCTCATTTACATATATCAGTTTTCAAGAACAAAAAATAGCCTGTTTAATAAATCAAAGGATAAAGAGATGTTGAAAAATGGTCATGTGAAAATGAAAACTGTGGATAAATCCATACAATCATCATAAGCAGACCCCAGGCAAGAAACTAAAAAACAAGAAAAATATAGGACCCCTTTAGGACCCCTTTAAACTTAAAAGCAGCATAGACCTCAGGCTAAAATGTGCCTTTCTTTATATTAATGTCCCATAGTTTCAGATACGAGTTTAATTTATAAGAGAAAAACAGTGTAGCATTTCCTTTGTGTCTGTTCAAAGAGCTTTACTAAGACTCAAAAACTGTCTTTTTTACTTTTGGGTTTGTTTGAAGACGTTTACAGTGACATTTCCTCTCAGGCCCACTCAGTTTTGGGCCACTTCCTCAGGCATCCACTATGGGTTAGATGCAATCACGAAGCGACAAGGCTGACAGAGCAGCAAGGACAGACTACAGCTAAATGATTAAATGGATAGAAAGAGGCCTTAGCAAGGGCATTGCTCCTCTGCTGGAACTGAATACTCAGCTTTTCTTTGCTGCAAACTGAATTCGCAAAACAGCATTACCTTTCTGAGCTACCACACACACATGTGCTGGTGCACACATACGTTTCCTGTCCCACTCATAAATAGGCAGTTGCCTGAACTAGAGGAAGCTCTAAATTACTACAAGGCACACCCACTGACAACATGGCATTTTATGCACACCCACTTCACAGCTGCAGTAGAGCCACTATTTTTCCTGTTTTGTCTCATGTTTTGACCAGAGATTTGTTGAAAGCGTATATATATGTGTAATATGTAACATGCAAAACTTTAAAAAAGCTGTAGATTTATACAAATGAGAAAATGCAGACTTGTGAACACACCATGCAGAGTCATAACATAGAAATCATTACTGTGCTCTGCTGTGGGTTATTATCTTGTCCATTTTGGTTTAATTTGAAAGACTGAGGGAATCACCTCGCTGTAGTGAAATTGCCGTTCAAAGGCCAGCTGTGCTGACTTCCTCATAACACGATGATTAATGCTTCATTATTAGCGTGCTAAATTACATGCTACTAGAGCACTTCTTAAAATTCAAATGACATTTAGACTGGAACAGGAAGGGGTGCCAGTCTGTGTTTATGCATTAGCTGGTGAATTCAGCTACTTTAGGGTGCACTTATTACTGACACAGGTCTTCAGTTCCTCACACATTGTTTGTGTAATCTCCATAGAAAAGCACTGCCAATGGAATGGGACACTCTGGAGTAGCCACACATAAGCCTAAGATCTCCATGCCCAATACCAAGTGTCAGCTAAAGGTATATAAAGCCCCCCAGTATGGGCTGTGGAGCAGTTGAATTGCATTCTCTGGAGTGATGGAGTTCCATCCAATATATTTGGGAAGAATTAGAGTGGCATTTGTTATCCAGACCTAACCATTAGGAGTGTCAATCTTTGAGGTGACAGTGAATCGATTAGATTAATGGTTAATTGGTTTTTGATTAATTTTGGATCATTTTTGGTAAAATAGGAACAACCTCATTCAGTTTGATGCACTACACAGTTTGAGTTTCATACATGTCATGTAGTGCCATGGTCACTGCAGCGTCACCTCTGTCATTCTTCACTCTCATCGATACCATATCAGGCTATATAGGCTAAATCTCAGTGTGACTGGGGAAGCATGAAGCACATGGATTGAATTGTAGTGCAACTGTGCATCAGTGCTTAGCTAAGCAGATAACTTCACTACTTTCTATGTGTATCCGCACTGTGTGATCTGCTAACTACTCTGTAGAGTGTCCACATATGGAGTGATGGCTTGTCAAAGTCTGATAAAATTAAACTAAAGCCAAGCTAGATACCTGTTGTTTCTTTATTTATAATCAGCAAAATTTGCTCTGTTTCCTCAGTCATTCGCACTCATGGTTACCTTGTGAATGCCGAGCCACTCACACGCTGTAAAAGCACTGAAGTTGGAGGAAAATGGATTATCGTGTAGCACACAAGGTCATATATGAAGCGTAAACATGTTTATTTTGTTAATACATCACGAGTCATTTAATTTTTGGCATTTGAAATAGATTTTTGACCAGTACAAACAATTCTGTATTATTGTTTCCCTTTTCTGTTCAGTGCAGTTACATCAGAAGGAATTATAATCGATGCATTGAAAAAACAATGAATCATAACATCACTACTAATCATCCAGCCTCACTAATGCTGTTTTGGCTGAATGCACTCAAATCCTTAAAGCAATCTAGTGTAAAACTTTCCCTGAAGAGTAGAGACTGTTACTACAGCAAGAAAGGTGTGAGGGGGAAAGTCCT